CTAGAAAAATAGAGAGTATAAATAATAAAATATGGAAGCATGTAAATATGAATTCGAAACGTAATTCTCTGTCAATGGTTAAAATCAATTTGTATCTGAAAAGCGAGTTCATCGTCAAAAATCACAGGACTGAGTAACATATTCAATGAAATAACGTCGGCACGCACGTGTGTATCGGGTTTTTTTTTCAGTTGTCGATTAATTTCGTTCTAACTGACCGTGCTGCCAATTATTATCGTCGAGAAATCAGTACCGAAGGCCGAAACGATGAAATTGTTGGAAAATGACAGGGGCAACGTGACTGGAATTGCAGCTTCAACGTTACGTGTTCTCATTAACTCCCAATATGATACCCATCCAAGATGAAAATCAAATTTATTTTTATGACAACTCCGAAGAGGAATTCAGCAACTCGGAAAATTAAAAAATTTCAATGAACCAAACAACGATCCGACCCAAATAAACAGTCTAATTATTCCAATTGACCGGCATCACTCGTACACAGAAATTCTGTTCTGTTCAATGTTGTACGAACCCTTATATAAATACAATGACAATGAAATTTTAATAGATATTGTATATTGCATTAATAAAAAACTGTACAAAATTTCAGAAACTTTACGAGCCTAATAAAAAAGTTATTACATCTTGAATTTGGGATTGACTGTGTAGCCAATACATCCTTAAGATGTATAATAAAAAATGCCTAATAAATACACGAAACTTGGATTTATACACGATTGTATAGAAGTACGTGGAGACTGAAGTTCTCTCATTGATTCAGCTCGTAGAAGTTCGCGAGACGAACCGTTCGAACCAAGGAAATAGCGCATATCCGTTGGGGAGATTTAGTCGACGAGGTCAATCAGGATCAATCGCGAGGTAATTGGATCGCCCACCGCGTAAACGGATAAACAATGTACATGGCCGGTGCGCGTATCAGTATCGAGGATACCGCGATGGAAACTTTTCCTCTCCGTTCTCCACTATTCTTGTCGGTGACACGAGTGCCCGTTAGTTTTTAGAGAAGTAGAACGGTGGTCGAGTGGGTTCCCATGGACGGTCGAGAGGAATCGAGTGCAGCTCCGACCGATCAATCGTTCCCGTTAACATTAAACGGGTTGAAAGTGTTTGTCGAAGAGATTTCGTTCGAATATGTGTCACGCGTTTCTCTGCTACAGTTTTAGAAAAATTACCATTTTCATTCCGTGATTCACAGTTTATGATCGCAGAAGTGAATGGAAGAATCTGTCGGATTTTACGAAATAAACAAAAATTTCGTTTGTGTGTCATCTATTTTGTTCTGACAGTGTTAATTGTCTCGAGACGAGAGAGTACCTCGTTCGGAAGGAAGCTTACAAGCGTCTATGTAACTGTGAGAAGAGTGCAGTGTCAAGGGTTTGAGATGACTGACGGTCAGTGAAGGGGGAGGATCGATTATTTGCCACGGTGAAAAGTTGTACGGCTGCGAATCAAAATGGGGAAGGTACTTCATAAAATGTGTCACAGCAAATTTATAATATTTTCCTAGCGATGAAAGGAAGCATAAGTCTTGTAACATAAATGAAATATATCTGAAAGTCCTTTTGATAGAATTTTTTTTAAGGTAATTCTTAGCCAAATTCGATGTCATGAAAAATTGTTCATTTTTTCAAGAAAATTAGTTTAAGTATCAGAGAACATATCTGCAAAATTTCAGAACGATTATCT